TTTTGCTTCACTGAGGAGAAAAAAAGTCTGTAAGCTCTTTTCGACCTAAAACTGTTGCTTGTAAAACCAAACCAAGAAGCTATGATATGATAAAATACTATAAGACATGATATGCTAATTAGCATTTTTGCTAATTTAACCTACCAAATTTAACCTTAGCATTTTAACCTACCAAACAATATTTCAATAAAGCATTATCTGGGTACTACTACATCAAAATAACTGTATTTTTCTCTTCCTGTAACATGTTTTTAATGTCTGATGACTCATCCTGCACTCAAGGCATTTTCTATGTTTTTTGACCAATGAAAATGCTTTGTATCCCTCCTATAAATTCTGACAGTTACCGCCCAGTGTGCAGGCTCTATGAGTGAGAAGTGTGTTTGGTTGTGTGATGTATGGGTGTCTTTGCCCCTTTCCCGAGTTTACTCATTTTAAAGAAGGAGACTCCTGTGCAACTTTTCAACAATTCTAACAAATTCATCCAAACATTATGTACCACCTTCTAACTTGGAATTGGTCCTATCTCATTTCTGTAGAAAATATGTTTACGAAACAGCAGTTAGATACTTTGGAAGTTCTCTTTCATAGGGATTTTAAGCTTGCATACTGAAAGTCCTTCAAACTCCATAAAAACTGCCATTTGTCTTACAAGGACTAATCAAAGCAGTGGCACTCTAATACAAAGACAGTTACTGTACAGCTGCTCCCATTCTTTTAAGATTATGACTAATAGCTGTCAAATCCAAGACGAGGTGATCTCACATGCAGTCAGTCTCAATGCCACTTTTGAAACTAAATTATCTAATAATCAAAAGCAGGCTTGTGAGGAGAAAAATAGAAAAATATCCATTATTACTGCTACTTTATTATCCTGTAGTAATCACATATTGCTGCGGGGGGGGGGGGTAATGTACAAAAGGAGAAAAGGAAAGCTAAAAATAGTTTCCTCCAAACGGCTCTGAGTTTATAAAAGAAACAGCATATTGAGGCAGTCATATTTGGTTGTACAAGTGGATTTGTCAGACTGCTACGGCTTTGTACAGAAGATTTACCGTTCTCAGGTGGAAATGGAAGATTATGGAGTGTAAAAATTCAGCTTTTTGCAATTGTGAGTCATGTTGAGCGTCCTTGTTGCACCATGAAATTTTCCCTTGACTGCTGAGAGAATGGTGTGACTGTGGCAGGAGTGCACAATTTTCTCTCTGGTTGACTAACACAGGCTAAGCATTCTGATACAGAGCAGGATATGGGTCAGTGCAGGTAGAATCCACCTCATTCTGACGCTGATTCATTTGAAATCTTCCTCTTCCCCCTTCGATGTTTTGTGCTACACTTTCTCTTATAGCTTTTCTGTATTTGTATTGTTGTGGTGGTGGTGGTGTGTGTGATTGTGTGTATGTATGGGGGGGAGTGTGTGTGTGTGTGTGTGGGGGGTTGTTATGTTGTCTGTCTGTGTGTGCATTCATGTTTTCATGTCCGTGTGCATGTAAGTGTGTACACCATCCCATTGTGATGATGCCTACTCTCCCAAAGGGATACTTGGATTGTCCAGATAAATCATCCTCAGCTGGACGGCTGCATCGCACGAGAGAAAAAGAAGGAAGGAAGGAAGGAAGGGGGGGAACAGAAGGAGGGAGGAGAGTACATGAGGAGAATCACTGAAAAGGGAATCACAGAATAGAGTAAAGTAGAAAGGGAAAGAATGAGAACATCACAAAGGGACGATAAGAGTGAAGTATTCCAGTTTTAAAGGCTAACCCAGTTCAACAACAGCTTATTATCGGTAATTTAAGGTACATTGTAGTTAGCATCTAAAAATAGAATAAAAAGAGGCTCAATCCAAATTCAAATGCTGTTATTTAATTTCCTGAGAACCCGGCTATTTGCTGTGAAAATTAGGCATTCAATTCTGCATACAATTCATAAGAATGTTTAAATGGCAGCTGCTTGGCAGTTATTACCCAGGCTTAGCACACTCTGGGAGGTCTTTTCAAAGGCAGCGGCTGATTATTGAGCATCAGCTATAAGCAGCAGATGTTGAGTTTGCACTGCAGTTGTAACTTTGGCTCCACAGAGTTATTTCAGGCCACCGTTAAAGATATTTTTCAGGTGCTAGTTGTTTAGCGTCAGCCAGGGGGGTGGGTATAGCTCCATAATGATAAGGCACTGGCTACAGCAAAAGATCCATAACTTAGCATCGCATTATAAATTTGCAAGAAATTACAGCATCCCAGGAAACATCTGTCTATGTTTGTTTGGCAAGTTTGACTTCCTGGTTCAGGAATAAATAGGAAAAAGTAAGCATGGACACCCTAAAACTGAGTACCCCTGACTGAATAAAGAAAGGACCTAGTCCCATGACCATTGGGTTCTGAAGAGGTGTTTTGAAGCCCAATGATGGTGGTAGCCATATTGGAAATGCTGTCTCAAGCTAACTTTATGTAAACCTATAAACAGGCAAAGAGATAAAGCTAAGGCAAGTCTTTGGTCTTCTGGCAAACAGCTACAACGAGTCCGCCTGTCAGTCAGATCAGCCTCGGCTTTATGCATAACTCTTCTTCATAAAATCAGAACAGATGTGTTACATAAGAAAATTAACCCTGCGTATGTGTGTGCCTGTAAAGACGAGATATTCAGACCAACGTTGCTTTGAACCAGGCTGTAAACATGATTATTTTTGCTGTAAAATTAAGCTTTTAATATGGGAACTAATGCGTGTTTCTTGGCTTTTGGATCCAGCCTCAAGTGGACACTCTAGGAACTGCATTTTATTTTGCGCTTCTGCATGAGCTTCATTTTTCAACACCAGATGTTGCCGTTTGTATAAACCGGAGTGCATTAGCTCTAAGCTTTAAGAAGGTTACATTCAGAACTCCGCTGCTCATCCTCCCACACACCCCCGCACCCGTGACCACATCACCCTCCGTTCTTCATGACCTCCACTGGCTCCTCATCCCCCAGCGTATCTGCATCAAACTCCTCATCATCACCTGTAAAGCCCTTCATAACCTGGCTCCCCCTACCTGTCTGAGGTCCTCCACCGGCACACTCTTACCCACACTCTCAGGTCTGCTGATGCAAACCTTCACTCTACCACAAGTTCCTCATTGTCTTTCAAAATAAAAGCTGGTTTGTAGCAAACATGAAGTAAAGTTCCCTTTGCTTAAGATAGTACAAAAATACAAAATAAAAGAATAAAAAACTTGTTTTAAATGCAAACTCATGGCATTTCAAACATGTTATTAAAAATGTGGTAAATCGCAATTAACAATTGAATTTTAGCTTTTTATAGCAATTGAATAATTTGTGTTGTTTGACAGCCCTACTTTTCACTATTTCAAAGAGACAGCTTAAACAAAGTGATGGGTGAGATGCATGGCCTGCACTTCCTTTGTGTTGCTATCATTCAGAAATGGATATCCACAATAGAATAAGAGCAAGTGCAGAGGGGGAGGAAATGAGGAGGTGGGCAGACAGCTGCCAGCTGTATTGTTGCATGGGCGAATAGAAGTCAGTCCCTCGGATGCCTTAAACCTGTAATCAAGCCCACCACAGCCAGATGACTCCTAGTCCTAAAAGTCTCTTTCTCCATCTCTTCTTTTCTCTTCATTAAACCTGTTAGTGCAGACAAAGCTGTGTGTGTGTGTGTGTGTGTGTGTGTGCGTTGGATAATAGATGCCTGGAAGCTAAAGGTCTCAGGTATGTTCCCTTTCATGATAAAATACCTGAGGACAGAGAGGATACCTGGGATATGTGTTCCATTGTGACAGGAATGAGGAGCAGCCAGACCAGAGTTTGTCTAAACCTTACCCACTGAACTCTTTATCCTGAGTAGAGATGCTGATTAGAGTTCGCCCACGCCTCCTTTCCTCATGTAATAATGTACTGACCCCTTCGCCCCGTCTCTCCATTCTAGCCGGCTCTGATCAACAGCAGATGGCTGAAGGGAAAGAAGTTATGTAGAGCTGTGCAGGAGTTAATCTCAGAGCATTTACTATCACTGTGTCAAGAGGTTGTTTGAATAACATTTGAACTACCACATTCAATGACTTTGTGCTATCAACTGGCTAAAAGAATTAGCATTGTGCCACAGTTATTTTAACTTAGAAAACAATGTTTTTTACTCAACACAACTTAACTACACCATAACACTCATTTACTGGCATATGTTTCCTAAACTCTGTGGAGACCAACTTAAGAAATTTCTAATATTCTATGCAGTCTCTGTCTAGATTCAACATAGGTCAAATTAAAACCTTTGCCAAGAAAATGTACACAACATGAGTAGTAATAAGAATAGAAACCTAGGTAAAATGTATTAACACTGGTAGATTTAGACCTGTACTAATGAGAGTAGACCTACAGCTGCAGCAGCATTCATGTTGCTCGGTAAAGCAGTGTCTGAGAGGAGGTAGTGCATTCCTTAAATTAGTCTGCATACTTACAAGTACAAGGTGCATTTTATATAGAAATATTAATTATTCTCCTTCATTCTCATGTTTGCTTTGGTTCACATTGACACAGAAATATTAATTTCAGTCTGTTTCAAGTTGCACTAATGCTAGGTTTAAGCATTGTAAAAGCAAACACACAACTTTAAAAAATAACGCTGGGCAAGTGTGATGGGCATCTTGAAGGGTGGGGAATAAGGGATTTCCACTGAAATGTAGAAATGTATTATCATGACTGTTACCAACATTTAATGTAGACATATGAAGAATTCTTGTATCTTTAATAAAATGTAATAAAACAATAATACACCCATTTAGTAAAAGCAAGGGTCATATTGTCATGTGTGATTTATTTCAATTTAAACTATAACATTAAAATAAATAAAAAATGAATGTGCAGTATTTTTGGAGTTCTGCTGTTTAACAGTCACATTTTGTAAATCACCAGCGCTGTAAAATGAATGGAGTAAGAGCAGAGCGGTAAAAGCAGAATGAAATGATAGAGTCGTCTTGTTTAAATGAAAGGTAATTGAGTTTGAAGCTCACCGGACGGTTGATTGGTACACCAGGTCCTCACGCCTGCGGTAGTCCTCCATGTGAGAGTAATTGGTATTAAACATAGCATCGTAGGTGAAGATTTTCTGCTTGATGGTTCCTCCATCTGTGACCTGTGAAGCAAAGAAGAGAGGGAGAGCTTAAATAAGATGATTCCTCTAATGATGGATGTGACAGGGCAGACCACTATGCCCCCTAGAACTCCTCCTATGTATAAACTGTTGTCCCATGGCCTGCAGTGTAGATACCACTCCTGCCCGCAATTACCTCAGAGTCATTTGCAGCCATGATAAGCTCGTTCCTTATGATGTCTAAAAGCAAGGGATTGAAAAGCTGCTGACGTGATAACATCAGCGAGACGGTCTCTGAGGCGGCTGCCAGTATGTGTTCATGCACATGGTTAAGCCTTAATGAAGACTGACACAGTACGGTGTTCTGAGTGTGTCAGGCAGTCTGCTTTCTGCAGAGGTAATGGTTTGTGACCAGATACTGCAGAGGTAGGGAGATGAGATATTCAAAACACTGGTCCCCTTCTTTCTTTTTTTTTCTAGCCATGCATGGTGGATGATGGAGTAGTTCTTTTTTTTGTAATATTCACAGGAGTGCTAACGTCACTTAGCATTTGAATGACTGTGATTTCTCCTCTGCTCAGAAGCCATAAAAGAAAGGAGGGTGACAGGATTTTAATGGAGCCACTAATGCTGCGTTGAAGAAGGAAATTGTTGGTGGTGCCGGCGATCCTTCTTCTCGGGCGAAGATGCTATCGTTCTGATCCCATCCAATCCCTTCAGTGAGGTAAACAACGTCAAAGAATTCAGCCATTATTCCGCATAATGTTCCGTATTATGTACGCATTGCCTCATGAAGAGACAAAGCTAAATTGTGTTTATGTGAACAAACAATCGTTCTCTGTGAATGCGGGGTAACTCATATAACCTCTTGCCTCTGGAGGAAGCACACTGCCTCAGGCTCAGTTTGCTAAGTGGTGCTGCACAGGGAGTTGACAATGCTGAAACAACCAAAAGCAGGAGTGCCAAAATAAATTGCCTTTGTCACCTGTAACCAACACAAGGCAGGCTTTTACACATTTTCACAGTTTTAAATATAAAAGGTCAACATGCACACTTCAGATATGTTTTCATGCATTCATCTACTCCAGCGTATGATTTTTTTTTACTTTTCTGTTTTGAATACCATTTGGTAAAGAAAAGTTTTTGCACCATTGTCAAGGACCTCAGAGCTGAGTGGCATAGCATCTGCTCATTTTAATAAAAGTTCACATTTGTGGACACTTAGCAATGATGTGCCGTTGGTTCGAGCTTCAGAAGAGGGAGAGGCAACAGCAAAAGGTCAGCCCTGTAAAAGCAAAGCAGTGTTTGGAAAAAATGATGCTTTCCAACCATCCAGACTTGGGCGCCCACTTAAGGTACAGTAATAGACCTTTTAAAAGACCACTACAGGGAGTCTGGAGACATTTCAGTCTGACATGGCTATACAGCACTGTTTGTAAAAATGGTGCACATTCAATAGAAAACCACCATCCACTTTCTTGGAGTATGATACTTTTGTGGAAGCTTCGAAGTAGCAAATTGTACTGGATTTAAAATAAGATGTGATGGACATAAACAGAATTAAATGCTGCAGATGAGGTCACAGGGACCGTATTCATTACGGTGAATTATGCCGTAAAACTGTCAATGAAACTGGAGTGGTTCATTTCCGTGACTCTATCTCTCTTTTTCAACAGGAATAGTGTTTTGGCGAGAACCTGTGTGATTAAATAAAACATATTTCCATTCTTCAAATGGATTTTCCCTTATTCTTATCTGCCATCTTTACAGACGAGTCTGTTCATGCCCTGTCAGACTCACAAGATTTTGCAACCATTAACTGAAACCAACTAAAGTCAAATAGTGAGCTGAATATATTTTTATTTAGACGGCGGCTCATTATTTCCTTGGTTGTTTGTTTTGAGCAAAACCCAGAACGTTCTCACTAGAACAACCACTTCAAGTTAAGTTTCAGCTCTAGTCCTAAAGTATCATGAAGATGTAAAAAGCTGTTAAAGGTTTTTACTTTCACATTTTGCATTTGCATACTAATGTTTCGGAGGGCTGTAGCAGTCATTAAATACACAACACAGAGTCACATAAAACTCAAGTTTACAGCAGGACCGGGCAACTTTGGTTGCCAAGAGAGCAACATAGATTTTACTCTAATGGTTATAGTATTCTCACATTAAACAAAATTAATAAATGCTTTATTGAAATAGTTTCAATGGTTTTAAACCCAAATGGAAATTGTAATGCACATTTTAATGGGCAAAGCAGAGCAACTTGTTTTTCAATTCAAAGGTGTTTAAGAGTATTCAAGAGTATTTGATGTAAATTAAAATATATTTTACTTACATTTTGAGATTGTAAAAATCTTTAAGAGTGGGCCTGGCACAAGTCGGTAGGATTAAGGGCCTTTCTACCTCATATCTATGCTGCCAATGACAGCTGATGACCACCATTTAATGAGTGAATAACACCTGAATCAGCTTCCAGGTTTCAAACCAATAATAGCTTCACATTCCATTTGTCATAAAACAATGACATTTTTTTTTTTTTTTTCATTTTTGGTTGGACAACACTTCAACCTATTATCAGCTAAAGGTAATAGTCTGCTCAGCTTGTTAATGTAGCTGCTACAATGTGTAGAAGTTCAATGATTCACCTGCGAAAATGTCATTGGGGTCATTGGTTAGATTAACCTTCAGTGAGCAGAGAACAATGCAAAAACAGAGAAAAAAGGTCTAGGCTGTTACATATTTAAGGGTTAAAGCACACAGAAAATTCTCCTGTGGACCTTTTTAAAAGCACCAGCATTGGTTCCTCTGGGACATGACTGCATGTTAGAGCTTCATCTCTGAGTAGCTCTAAAGCGTTAGCCTGAGGGTAGCAGTTCAAAGTCTTTACATGGGTGCTGGTCAGGTCTTAGATTAATGCAAACCTTCTATAGGACTGACTTCCCGTATGTGTCTGTCAGTTAAATCCAATGACCTTGTCACCGTGGTATTTTCATTAGACATAGCAGTCAGCCGAGACGCTCAGCTTTTTAGAGAAAAACACAAGAGTGAAAAAAGCAACCAGTGCAAGTAAGGAGGGATCGTTTCGTTGACAGTGAAGTGAAACCTGTGCTAATGGCAGAAATAGCAGTGTGAGCAGAAATAACTTCAGATAGAAGAGCTAAAAAAGACTTTCCAAAAAAGGAATCCAAACATCATTAACACAATCCAGGAGACACCGACATCAGAGTTTCTAATTGCAAAGAGGTCTCCAGGAAGTGAAGAGGAAAACCACCAAAGCATTAAGGCTGAATTAAGACGGATACATGAGCTACTGAATTATCATTATCAATGGAGGAAGGGCCATTAATGGGCCTGAAATAAATCTATAGTTTCTGTTTGGATTACTTTTTTTATTGGCCATAACTTTCACTGGAAAGGTAAAATTATCACAAAAAACCTTTTAGATGCTGTAAAACAAATCAAAATGCCAAAAAGATGCTTATATTACACTGCTTAATTCATTGTTACAGTTTAATTGAAACCGCAGTAAAATGTTTAATGCTGTAACACCAAGTTCTAATCAATTCAAGTCGTCACAATACTGGAATTTAAAACTTCAATATGATACTGGTGAAACTCAAACTATAGCGATACCTGTTTCGAAACCTTGACAACCAAAATAGAAGCTCGTAACACCCATTATGAGGTTATTTGTTGTTTTAAATCACCAAAAATTGCAAGCAAACTCCTGCACACTGTCTGAACCATACAAATACATTGGCATCATTTAAGTACCAAAATGTTGCAAATGTACTTCGACAGTGTGCAGGTGTTGGCTTGCAATTTTGTCAAGGACTATGGCCCCGTGTCCACCTAGCATTTTTTCCTGAGTGCTGAGAGAGCATTTGCAGCAGCAGGCGGCCGTTCCGATTGTGAAGTTGAAAATCTTTCAACTTTTCATAAAGGCGCTGTTGATGTCACCAGCGCTCTTTTTCAAAATGTATGATGTTCCCTGTAGTTTTCCCGCCTACAGATCGTGACTTGTACCCACATTCTCTTTGCGCCGTGTTTGCTGGAGTTAAAACGATTTCAAATATAAAAACATGCGGTAAAAAAGGAACGCAGGAGTGTCAGTCATATAGCGGCCATTGTCAACAAACTGTTGTCATAGAGACAGGACGGACTTGCAACGCTTTTCTTGTCAGCGCACAAACTCTTCTTACAAGCACTCCCGAGCGCACAGCCAGCACTGTACTGATCAGAAAAAACAATAGATGGACACATGGCCTAAGTCTTCTCTTACACATTTTTCTTATAAAATAGACATAATGGAATCAAAAAGTATCAAAGGAGGAACATTTTAACAAACTTAATTTAAATGTAAAGCTTTTAATGGGTTGTTTGTTGGAAGATTGGTTACAGCAATATTGCAAGGGTTGACTGAAACTGTGGTGGGCGAGCCCAATGTGCCTCAGACTCCCTCTGACTTTCACATTATCAGTTTTTAAAAGCAATTTATATTCCACTTTACAAAATGACAGGGAGAAAAAAAAAGGCATGACTGTGCTTATTTACACTGATGAGCTACTACTTAAAGTAAATACTAACAAGTTCTGCGAGAAAGCTCACTTCCCCCTCCGTGCTAACACCCTGCAGTTGACTTTGCAAGCCTTCTTAAACCTATGCAGAAATCCTCTGCTGGCCCTGAAGCGTCAAGGTGAGTCGCAGACATTTTCAAGCTTTCTCCTCTTTCTAATCCAACAAGCATTACACCTGCTTCTGTCCTCCCCTTGTAAAAGCTGGTGGATATTGCAGGTGTCACATATCCTGGATGTCTGAAAGACTTAAGGACCAGAGAGGAAGATTTCTGCCTTAGACGTGTCATCTCTGTGGCATCCTCTCTTTATCTATCCCACCTTAATGATTTCACCTCTTAATTAAAACTGACCCGTCAACCCTTGTGTAATAAATCTGAGAGAATCTGCACATCAGTGTGTGTCTCGCTTTCCCCACAAGAGGACCAGTTAGAGGTATAAATGACCGACTCAGGAAGGAATAAAA